TCAAGGGCCTGTGGGGGCTCCGCCTCTCTCTTCTTTCCTTTCTTGCTTCGCCCACCACAGGCCCTCCAACCCGGGCGTCTGACTCCCTCCTTTCGAGCCGCCTCTCTTCGCGATTGCTGAACGGGGGCGTCGAGATCCTCGCAGGACCAGCACACCGCTCTAACGGAGGACCTAAGTGTGCAACGCAGCACGAGGGTGACCGCTGCCGGCCAGCTCGTTAGGGACTTCCTGAACAGCGCCGTCTACGGGATCGGCGACCCTACGCATAGCCGAGGGGGCCAATATCCTCCGCCGCACCAACACCGCTGGCCGGGCCCCCTTGCAGGGAAAATTCGTCACTTGGCACAAGCAGGCTCCTACGCAACCACGACGCCTGACAGCTCGCCCGCATCTCAGGGGGACTGGACAGACCTCCTGAACCTCCACCAAGATCTACCAGGCCAAGTCGATTCCACACCGCCAGAGGGGGATCCCCGCCGAAACGTGTCAGAGCAGAAGGCACAAGGGGGACTCTCTGGCTTGGTCGCGGTGACGATGGAGGCTATTAGCAGGACCCTGCAGCTCCAATTACGTCAAGAACGAGAACTCCTCACGGGGGAAATTGGAAAGGCTATGACCCAAGTGAATGCAAGAGTCGATGACATCGAGACGGTACTTGGCAAGAAGTTGGGGGAGGCGGCAGACATGTTGCAGGAACTTGCAGGGGCCCAGAAGCGCCAGGGGGAGCAGCTGGAGGCCGTGGCGGGGGAAACCCAAGCCCTCGCGAACAGGATCATCGACCTCGAAGCCCGCTTCCAGGCAGTCGAGTACGGGGGGCACAACACGCAAAGCCGAGGGGGACGCTTCTTGGAGGACGAGGGGGGCAACCGCAAGCCGTCTCTCATCATCGGGGGCTGGGACCCCGATCAATCACAGGCGAGGACACATTGCAGAAAGCCAAGGACGTCATTCGGGAACTGCAAGTCGATGTGGACGTGCAGGACGCATTCGTTCCAGGAGTTCGCCGTGGCTATGCGATTCTACCGTTCCAGCCGAGAGCGGGGGAGACGACAGAGGGGGGGACGGCAGTTAAAGCCGCCTTTGGCTAGCCATCAGAGAGGTTAGGGAAACGCAAGAGAGCACAGCTGGCGGCCAAGACCAAAAGACTGATGCTCGAGCTGGGGGGGCAGCCAGCCAATTGGAGGTGGAGTTTACCGGGGGGAAGATTTGCTCAGGCACAGCCCCCAAGCCGAATGACGGGGTCGAAGAGACAGGCCCAGGATGGATCGACCTGGAGAAGATCGCCGCAACTTGGGCATGGGGGAAGACCAGGTCAGGGACGCCTGGCGGCCACTGGCCGCGGTGGTTGGTTGTGACTAGAGCAACCACGGCGACAGTTTAACTGAAAGGGGGCCCCGCCCCGAAGGGGCTTGGGCACTTGGAACAACGCCCTGAGAACGACACTGCGGTGGGAAGGCCATGAGGTCCAGCTCGTCTCGATACATGTCCCGCATCACGCCAAGGTGCAACACGCCAGGAAGCTCCTGGATGACGTGAAGCAAAGCCTCGGAGCAGCGAGGAAGGTGGTATGGGGGATGGATGCCAACGAGTCCTTCGTAGAGCTCCGCACGCTGCGCCAAGCGAGGATTGCGCTCACACGGAAATCGTCGGGCGGGGAGATGGAGCACTTTCGCCCTGCAGACCGTCTGGCACATCCACGGCCACATATAGCAAGGAGGGAGTGCCCCCTCCGCGAGCTCTTCGAATGGGGGAGTATGGGCTGGTGGAAACGAGAACAAGCCTCAAACAGGGGGCGGGGCATGCACAGCGGTTTTGTCCAGCCCTCGACGTGGAAAGACATATTGCGGAGAGCTGGCGGGGGACGACTGGATGGCCACCGCAGCGAACAGAGCAACGTGGCGCGCTATGGCCGCTATGGGGGAGGACTGGATTCCGGAACATGACCCGCCGTGGGCGTCTGGCAAGCAAGCGTCCCTCGAGAATCTGGCCCCGACTCCTAGGGAGCGTTCTAGCAGGAGAATGAAACCAACGACGGCGGGGGACGTGCATGAAGGGCCTGGATTCCAGGACAGTTTTCCTGTTGGCCAATTAAGGGAGAGCAATTCCACCCAAGGCTGACTGTTTGATTGGATTCATATATATATATATATAAAATGGATGGACGATGGATACAGGGGGAGCACCTCCACCCAATAGCCAATGGGGAGCATCTCCACCCGAGGCCATGCACTAGATTGGGAGGTTTAGGGTTATCGACAAGCACAGCGGACCAACCGACAACAATTGCGCAAGACAGCAACGCAGCAATGTGGTATTGGTTTTCTCCTTTAGCATCCTGAGTGCCTGGATCACTGTCGTTTCCAAAGACCCTTTCTCAGCCAGCACAGAGTGGCACCAATTCCCATGAAGTCGCGATCGTTGGCCCGGGCGTAGTCCAGCAGCGATGCCTAGGAAGTTTTTCACTAAGTAAACATTGCAGAGAGGTCTGTGGCTCCACTGAGCGGCCTGAAGATCCGCCATGGATTTGTTTCCACTGGCCCGGAGACCGCTCATTTTGCGTTCCATCCTGCGTGTATCACATGCATGACAAAAATGAAGGCCACATGCATGAAAGAAGGCGTACGGGTCCCATCTGACCGAAGCTGCTTGCGATTCCGCACCACCATTCGCATATGGCTGCACCAAACCTGACAGGGACATGAGCATGTCTAAACTGCGGCCGTTTTGCATAACGAAACACGCATGCAACTCTCGAAGAGGCAGCCTTTCCAGGTAAGCTTGCGAAGCCTGGAGACCAGGCCCCCCCACAAACTTTGCGGATGCCGTGGGAGTTCACATACCTAGGTCAGGAGGAGATAGAATCAACTGCATTCGGTGGTTCGAGACTTGCACAGTTCAGGACAAGCAGCCGTTGCATGACAGGACCGTACTTGTTGCAGGAGCGAGCTTCGGAGCCGGGAGCACTCGAAGTCTCTAAGGCATCGGACATGTCTTCGTTCGAGTAAATCCAAATTGGTTTCAAACTGTGAGCCTCAAAGTTTGCCAAGGAAACGCTATGCCTGAGAAGTTGAGCTTTGACATGGCCTTCTTGCTCCCTGGCAATGAACCACTTCATGAGATATTGAAGGTCATTGAAGGTCCCAGTAAATCTCCAGTTTGGAGTTGAAAGGATTCTCCAGCGAGAAGACTCCTCCCCGGGCCCAGTGCAGCAAAAGGATGGCCGCTGTGAGGCTGGCCAAGGCAGACCCCTGTTGAACATGCGGGTATTGAGAGAGCAGCACTGTCATGAAGGCGAGCACCGCGCCTGGAGGCGAGAGAAGGTCGTGCATCAAGGAGCCTTAGGAGCGGCATTACACAGGACATGCAATTACACGGCTATGCAGAGGAAGTCGTGCAACCCGAGAATCGTTCAACATCAATGGCTTTGGCATTGTAGCCTTCCCCTCTCCATGCCCCAGCGAGCACAGCAACTCCTGCAAAGAACTCCGTCATTTGCAGCTGTCCTGTGGGCAAGTCCTGCAACATCAGGTAGAGGTAAAAGTTGCATGTGTGGAAAACAACAGACACATTTGCATTCCAGGGTTAAGCCTCGCAAAGATAGAGGCAGACTTCCAGCTGGACCACGAAGCACATCATTACCATCTCAACCAAAACCTGGATGAAATCTATGGAGAGGCCGGTGCAGAAAGAGGAGAGAAGAATCGGAGAGAAGAGTCGTTCTTTTGCATCCGCGAAGCCCAAGGAACTCCCAAGGACACCAGACCATGGAGCTCTCTCAGTCGTGCCACATCCAAGCGTTTCATAAAATGTTCCACGGCCACAAAATCAGGTGTATAGTTGAGACATGATTCTTCTAATGGAGCCTTTGATCCACTGCGATCATGGAGAGTTCAGCATGTATTATGTGAATCAAGAAACATGAAGCATGGCATAGCCCGGGGCACGGAGCGGATTGTCGTCGGCATCCCAGCAATTGCTACAAATCATCATCGAGGGCACGGCCTACAGAACAGCAACGAAGTTTGTCCTGTCTCGCACATGGAAAGCATGGAGTGGAAGCATGCCTGCAGATTTATTTGGTTCACATGCAATGTGCCTTTTCTCATGCTGCACGTCGGCTTCCCTGAAAAGGGGCCGGGCTCATGAGGCGCGTCGGCTTCCCTGAAAAGGGGCCGAGCTTAGCAGTTTCCACCCATAATAATACACACCAGTTCCCGTCCGGGAGCTGTTTCCATCCATGATAATACAGACCGCGGGCCCTGGATTCCAGGGCCGGCTCAGGGAGCTTGAAGCTTGTGGTTGTTCACAGTCTTCTCAGCTGACCCATGGCGATCCACAACATCCCTGTCGCGGCACTGCACCAGCTGCTTGTCGACCGACTTGTTCCCCGAGTCTTTGACCCTCTTCACCAACGCAAACGTAGTTTTGCCCTGTCTCTTGTGAGGCTTTATCAGGTAATGCTTGCCGTCATCCGCAGTCGGCTGGGAAGCCGCCTTTTTGGCCGCCGCCTTGGTGCGCGCGGCTAGCCGTCGCTGGTTGAGCGGAAGCACGGGTTCGGGCTTGCGTTTCGTAGCAGGTCCGCGGGCATCAGCACCGCTAGCCTGACATGCGAGGCATCCAACGAAACAGATCCTCACTTTCAAGAATTTCCAGTGTTTTGCCCGATAGCGACGAGAGGATATTGTTCCTGCACAAAGATACTCAAGGTAAGAAGCCACACGGTCGGATTCCATGCCTGCCTAAGGGATTGCACCGTGATATTATCCCCCGGCACGGCGGACCTGCCCAGAGCACAATGCCAGCCCATGCCAAGTCCAACTTGTCAAACCTGCTATGTGCCTGCTCTCTGACGATGATGCCGTGGACGGCTGCATGATCTCCGGCCTTCGGAAGCTGGGCTATTTAGGGTTTAGGGTCGTTTCGAGGTTTTA